TAATTTAATTTCCATTATTATTTATTAATTCTCCTTGAAGTTACTAACACGTTTATTGTTTTATAGTTGCAAGCAAAAGCAATCAAAGTAAGGAATCTTGTTCCCTTTGTTCCAATTATATTTCTAACGATTTTTATTATGTTTTTCATATACTAATCGTTGCGTTTTCATGGTTAATTGCTTCCAATGTTGATGTTTATTTTATTATTGTATTGATCACCATATTGCATGTTTAAAAGGAATATGTAACTAAAAATCACGACTAATAAGATAATTTGGACAACTGGATTAGGTTCCTTTTTAATCTTGTTGTTTAATCAAGTGATCACTAATAATTAGAATTATTTGTTGCATTATCATTCAACCAATTTAGCCTAATGTTAGTTTGGAGCAAATTGAATCTTTGTTTGTATGCCTTTGAGATCGCAGGAATTACTTTCACAATAAGAATCGAGTGGAGGCCAATACGGGCGAATGTGACTCCATGACTCACTTCGTACTATCATCCCTGATCATCCTTTTGTGGTTCTAAACCATATGGAGTTAGTATTCTCATGGATTATGAATAGGGTGTAACCTTCACGGGTCAATCGTTGTTGCCTATCGTTGTCTCTTATTCGTGGTTGCCTTAAATGATCTGTGAACGGTTTACAAGTTTCTTAAAAACTTATTGGCGACTCCCTACTTTATTTGTCCCTAATCGTATATGTCAAATCCACTTCCTATGATTGCCAAGCATATTCACACATGCTTAAACAGGCGCGATTCAAATGACGCCTACAGTGTCTACAATATCCCACTTGTTTTATCATTCTCTCTCATACTCTCCCCTCTTCTTAATATGTGTGCCTAAATTGAACGTGTCGACTAAATAGAAACGGAGGAAGTATATAGACAATAGGAATATCTAACCCTAATATTCCTAAATATCTCAACAGCCTAAATCTATCATAGCTCACATTAATCTTTTTACAAGGTATTCTCCTGATTATTATCACAATATAATATCATATCAACAAACACATTCCTTTCTCAATACTAGTTAACGTGATCTTCTGTGCAGGTTTTATTCGGCCCATCTTAATTATACGGTCCAAACTAGTTTTCAGCCGACAGATAAAGGTCAAATTCATGACCACATTGTTTCACCTAGAATATGGGTGATCATGGATTGGATATCTGTATTTTAAAATTTGGTTATTTGATATCCGCATCCGATCCAAAATTTTAGAATATCCAAAAATTTTGGATCGAATAGTTTGGATATCCAATATTCGACCCTTCTAAAAATTTGTAAAATACTAAGTTAATGGAAAAATTATTGAATTTTTATTTCAAGGAAAATTTATACTCGTATACATAATAAATTTATACTTGTATTCTGCTATATACATACATACATACATACATACATACATACATACATACATATATATATGTATGTATGTATGTATATAGCAGAATACAAGCAAACCAAAACTAAACTAACACAGAAAAAGTAACAAGATTAGTATGACACTCATTAGCAATTAAGTGTGCTTCTTGAACCTTATCCCGGTCAACCTTAAGAACATCACAATGTTTAAACTGAGAGCCAAAGTGTTGTCGAATCTCTTGTTAATGTCCAATGCAGGCTCACATTGTTAGTGTTTCGTCTCTGAAGAAGTGTTATGAGGATTTCGGAGTCCATGTAAACCAAAATATTCGTAAAACTATTATCAATAGCCTACTTCACCGCTGAAACACAAGATAATGCCTCTGATAGAAGGGCCGAGTGAGTGATCCCAAAACTCCCACCTACCTTCAACTCATCAGTTGTTGGCTAGGTAGCCATCCATCCAACTCATATTGACCCGTATCCTTATGCCAAGACCCATCTATGGCAATGGTACAATCCAACTTGACCATGAGAATTCCCACAAACTCCTTCTCATATCCTAGCCTAGCCTGCATCAAAACCTGGAGGAAAAATACGGTTGTCATCACAAACCTTAAGTACTCCTAAAGAGCGAAGGTCAGGATTAAGGTAGTCCTGAAGGTTCTTCCAAGCTTCCTCTAGATTAATCTTGTAAGCCTGCATAGTACCTAGTGCCCCATTAAAAACCTGTTGAATTCTAGTAACCCATAGGGCACACATAATAGCGACAAAGTGTTGTATGCCCATACTATGGACACTGTCTTGACTATACTTCATATTTTCAAAAACACTAGAATTTATAAACTTTCAAGAGAAAAAAAAAACTTTTCTATTCTAGAAAATTAAACCCCAAATCATGCAATTCCATATATATACTATATACTAAATTAATCACCAGAATCATCCCTAAAGTACACGTATTGCATTCACAACAAAAATTTTCCCGCCAAAACTTTTTATTTTTTCTTTTTCTCCTTCAAAAAAATAACATGATAAAAAGTTAATGAACAAAAACTTAAAATAATATATAAAATATCTATATCTATATCTATCAATCAATCATAGTATTTTAAAAAAAATAGTATTTAAAAATAGGGAAATTCTACATGGTGGCCTTATGGTTCTGAGTTTTCCACGTGGAAGACGAAGTTTTTTTCAGCTCTCTTTAGTGGCACCAAGGTTTAGAAAAATTGACCATAGTGACCTTTTTTAGGTTTATGGCTAACCTTTTTAGTTAAAATGGTTAACCTTTGATTTTTTTATTAAAAAATTATTTAAATTATATTTTAAAATAATAAAATTTAAAAAAAAAAATAAAAAAAAATTCACAGCCATCTATCCCCATTGTCAAACCCTAACCCTACCCCTAGCCTCGCCGGAAACCATGCCGTCGACGGCTGCTGCTACTCCCCCTGCGCCGGTTTCTCCCCTCCCCCAACGCCGGTGATGCGACCCACCTTCCTCCCCTCCTTTTCCGCCGGCAACCACCACTCGAATCTCCTTTTCTAGCCACCACCACTCGAAACTCCCTTTAAAACTCTCCCCAACTCTCGAAAACCCCCAAACACCCTTCCCCCACCATCGAAAACCCTAGCCGCTAGGGTTTCGGGGTGGAGGAGGAGTTTTTAGGGTTTTTTGGGAGTGGGAAAGGGGTTTTTTTGTGGTGGTTGCGCAGGGGGGTTGGAGGGGATTTATGTGAAGGGGGAAAACGGCGAGGGGAAGCGACAGTCTGGCTTGGGAAGACCGGCGGTTCGGCGTGGGAAGACCGGCGATCGGCAAGGGAGAGGCGACGGACTGGGCAAGTGGTGGTGGGGGGACAGTGGGGGAGGGGAGGTATGGGTTTGTCTGATTTCTTTATTTCTTTTTCAAAATTGATGAAAGCTGGGATTTTTTTTTTGTGTTTTTTTTTTAAATTTTATTATTTTAACATATAATTTAAATAATTTTTCAATAAAAAAATCAAAGGTTAACCATTTTAACTAAAAAGGTTAGCCATAAACCTAAAAAAAGTCACTATGGTCAATTTTTCTAAACCTTGGTGCCACTAAAGAGAGTAAAAAAACTTTGTCTTCTACGTAGAACACTCAGAACCATGAGGCCACCATATAGAATTTCCCTTAAAAATACAAACCACAAATCATTCATATGCCACATGTCACCACAAATAATCTATATGCCACATGTCACCTCCCTTAATATTTCCTTTTTATATTCCTTTTATAATTAATATAATTTTTTTAATAAAACAATTTAATGTCCAAGTCTTTATGCATTTTATAGCTTGCAAATTTAAGTAAGAAAATGAAGTGTTTCATTTCCACCATAATAAAATAAAGTAATAGTCTTTTCAACTCCTAAATTAAAATAAAGTAATACCGAGTAGTAAAAATAAGTTGACTAATTAGTTCACATTACATAAACATATGAAGTGCAGTAAGTCTTTTTTCCTAAACTTAAAATTTAACTTACATCAATGTGTCATTTCATATATATAACTTATATTAAAATATAACTTAATTATTTCGTCTTCTTCAACAGTTCCAACCTCACTATTTTTTTCTTTTAAGTTTTAACAGTGAACTTAATATTTCCTTTTTATATTCCCTTTGTTAGCAGTGTAGCATTTGTATTCCTTTTGTTAGTAGTGTGGCATTAAAAAAAAAAGAGGGAGTACAAAACAACATCGACGCATATAACACAAATAAGCAACACATTACAAGAAAAATAACCTAAGTAATAATCATGCATGAACGGGCCAAAACGCTAGTACTTGTATAAACTCGTGGCAATTTACACAACAATATTTAACTTCTTGAATTAGTCCACTTTTTATTTCAATCTAATCTAATCACAGTGAGGCAAAGCTGCGAACTCGCAAAGGTTGGTTTTTTGTACTTTTGGTCAGTTTGATGGAAGAGGGGTAATTTTCGTTGGGTTTGTTTTGGTGAGTTTTTGTACTTTTGGTCAGTTTGATTTTTTCCGGATATCGAAAATACGATATTTTGATATCGATATGCGATTCGATATGCAATTTTTTCAGATCGAATATCCATAATTTTCAAATCGGATGCAGATCGGATTATCGAAATTACAAATAGTTTTGCTCAGCCCTACCAAAATGTCCTAAGACTTCCCCTAAGGAAGAAGACTTTGACGGTTTGAAAACTGCTTTAGCAAACATCTATAATTTTTATTTTTAATTTCCGGCAAAACTGCACCGTTTATTGGAGGGAGTATGATGAGGATTGTGCTCTTGGGAGCATGATAAAATTTGCGCCAAGCAATTGAATCTACAGTAATATAAAGTGAAAGGGAGTTTTGGGTGATAAATTTTTCTTTCCCAAAATATCCCCCTCTTCTTTTATTTTCTTTAATTAAAAAAAAATTACCTTTATTTTTGTAAAAAATAACTACCATCAATAAAAAAAAAAATACCATCCTTTATTAAAAAAATTAAAAGCTACCTATTTTTTTTTTAGAAAAGTCATATCCTTGAATCCTTCTATTGCCTCCATGATTTCATCAATTTTTAAACTCACTAATATTTTTTTAATTAGAATTTTTTTTAATAGATTTTTTAATTAGAGTAAGGTAGATAATATTTCATAAAAAAAAAGCGAAAAGATTTCTTATAATGCATATGTGTTGTCTCATAGCTTGTAAGAATAAGAAGAAAAAAACACGGATGAACATAGCCCTGCCTCCTCCTCCCTCAGTTCATTGAAGCTCACTCAACATCGCACTTCACGTTCTCCATCCCATTGAAGCAGCTTCTGAAGTAAGCCGTTGTTTCCTTTTGTAATCATCATATCAATTTCACAATCTAGGGTTTAATTTTATTTGATTTAATTGTAGGGTTCGAAAATCTCAACTATTTGTTCTAAATAGATTATGAAAACAAAATTGTAATTGAATCAAATATCCCTAAAATTATTGTTATTTAAATCAAAGTTGGTTGCTAATGTATTGCACAACCCTTTAATTTTAGGATTCAACTATGGCGGGCCTGATGTGATTATTCGAGCTTAATTTGATATTTGAATCAAATTTGCCTTTAATATTAGGATGGAACTATGAAATCGGACCTTTTCTTCCTAAAATTCTGAGCCTTATTTGATAATTGAATCAAATTTGGTTGCTAATGTGCTGCAGAACCCTTTAATGTTAAGATCGAACTATGAAATTGGGACTATTTTCTCTGGGACCAGGGCGACTGCCCCTCCTGTCCGGCGAAGGTCTTGCTCACGATCTCTTCCTTTTTTTAAATCCCTTGAGGTTTCATTTGCAACGACCAAAGTGAACATTAGATTGATGAGGATGGATTCATATGGTGGTTGCGGGATCCCAGTAACGAAATTGCCGAGGCATCTGATAGTTATGGATGTGGCAAGAGTTGAGCCAGATGGACTTGATGAAAAGGCCCAAAAGGTTGGAATTTCTGGCTTTTATATTGGTGTTAGTCCATATTATTGTATGCTTGCGTTGTCTTTACATCGAATTACCTCAAAGGCTCAAACATTACTAGAGTGACAGAGACTTGACACTTTTCTAGATATATATGTGATTGAAATTACACATTGGCAAACATGAAATGTGAAACGTTTCAACTAAAAAGACAAAGAAATTATTTTTTTTAGCTTCAAAATCCAGTCGTGCTGGTATCCACTCTACAGGGATTGTTATTTTGCATAGATTTCTGTCCCTTAGTGCAGTACTGCGACTGGATGTTAGGTGAGTTGGATCTAAACCGAAGAATTAGGAAGTACTGCAGTCATACTATAATGTTTGATTAAAGTGTAGAAGTATTGCTGCTTTTTCCCCCTTTTCCTGTTGCTTTGAAGCCTAGCAGAATATGGAAATGGTCTTTCTTTTCAATTCTTGCCTCTTGATTAGTTCAGGGAATGCTTAGGCTCATAGAGTCATGGGATTTTACATGTAATTATTCATTATTAAGAAGAATAAATGAAGTATAAGTATGAAAGAAAATATTTCTAATATATTTGGAGGGAAATTAAATGAACACTGATACTGCCTATCTCCATTGCAAAAAGCACATATTTTGACCAATTGTGGCTAGACGCATATGCTTGGGCATGAAGAAAGTGGTTATTTTGCAACTGGATGTGAGTGGATTGGTCATTGCTGTCACTTGGTGGCTGTATACCTTGTGCTAGATATTGATTGACTCTATATCATTTTAAACTCCTTGTCATTCTTATAAATCTTATTACCTATCAGAGAATGAAGTGTAAGCAGTGAACCCTAGTTTGAAGTTTGAGGGTCATTTAGGTTAAATTTGCAGCTGACAAGAATGAGTAGAGAATTTATATATATATATATATTTAGTTTTTTTCTTTGTGGGAAAAGCTAAAGGGGTAGAACCGAACTACAACAAGCTATTTATAGTCCACATATTGGTCTTATCATCTTATGTTAGCCTTTCTCAGAGCTTCACTAACCTGTTGTAAAGTAATGGTTCTAGCAAATAATTGTGCAAAGTCATTGGTATTAGAAAATGTTTGCTGTGCCTCTAGGTGAGATATAAAACAAATCAAATGTCTTCAGAAAATCTTTCAGTTTCTGAACCCAGGGGGATTGTTATGTATAGGATGCGTTTTCGTTTCTTGTTACCCACAATTGTTGGTTGTTGCTGGTTTTGAAAGGGTGTGTTGTAGGAAGTTGACGAAGGCAGCAACCTATTGGAAAAGGAAGAGATGCATTTGGAAGAGCAACATAAAGCTGGTCAGTTGAAGAACAGAGTTATATATGGATTTGTGATTGGCATTGCAGTAGGTGGCATCATACTGGCAGGAGGATGGGTTTACACTATCGGTGTTGCTGCTGCAGTTTTTATCGCAGCAAGAGAGTATTTTGGATTGGTAAGGAGTGATGGGATTGCCATGGGAATGACACCGCCACCTCGATATGTGTCAAGAGTTTGTTCTGTTATCTGTGCTCTTATGCCTGTTTGGACCTTGTAAGATCTACTCCATTACCTTTGATTCTCTGTTTTTGGGTGTGATTTTATACTTTTCATGCTATATAACCAGCTGCAGTTGTGGGATATGAGTAAAAAATAACAAATGTACCAAGTCAATCGTAGCAAATCTTTTGTGTTTGTGCTATTTGTGGCTGTAGTGCTGTATGTTGACCAATTAGTGGATATGATATAATCCCTCTTTTGTGTTTAACCACTTTCCATTTTACGGTATTTTATTTATGTACCCAGTTCTAATATATTCTATTTTTAGCAAATAGGTTTTATCATCTTAACCTTCTTACCTCACAATGTTTACACTTTTCCATTTAACTCTGTCTTACTTTATCCACCTATTTCTTACACCAACTTACCTCTCCTAAAAACAAGAGCCTAAACTAGATGTTAACTAAAACATGTACGAAGGGAGTATTCACTTTGTTGGATGCAATATATTTCTGGATAAACTTTTAAAAAAACACACACACAAACACTTCCATTTCAAGTAGATCTTTCCTTTATCTCTTTATCACATCACCCCTTTTTCTCTATGTATTGTGACGCTATTTTATACTTTTCTTCTCGCTTTATCCATAATAAATTTTTTTTTATTCACATATCTATCCATTTTATTCGTGCTAAAAGCACACGTGATAGTCTTTGAGTGATGGATGGAGTATTTGATACATTCCAAGATACGTACTATAATACTATATGAGTTTATAAATCATAATGTACAGTGGATGCAGCTTGCTATTGCAGATCTTATTGTCATATTGTAACATCTGTAACGACTTTCCTAGGCAATTTTTTTTATTAACCCTAGCCTGGCAAGGGATTAATAGAATTGGAGCTTGACCAGTTTTCCGTGTGTGTTTGGGGAGGGGGGGGGGGAGGTATTTGATTATGAATGGTTGCAATAGGTATTGGGTTCTTGTGTTGTTTTCTTCCACTTTTCATCTCAGAGGCTAATTGAGCATGAAACATTTTATTTTTCCTCTACATTGTTTTAAAACTGTCCAAGCTTCAGCATAAATAAGCTTAAATACATGTTCAAGTTTCAGATGATTGTGTGTGAAGATATAAACTGGCTTTTGTTTCAGAAGATAATGACATATGCACTTGAGTATAAATTTTCTCTTTCTTTGCTGATCTCTTTTTTATTTTACATCTTTTTCTCCTTTTTTAGGGGGGTGTTAAGGGTATTATTCAACTGCTTACTATTTTTTTTTTTTTTGTTAGGTATGCTGGTCACATTGACATCTCAGTAACATCTGCAGCTTTCGTTGTTGCAACAGCTTTGCTTTTACAAAGAGGAAATCCTCGCTTTGCTCAGCTTAGTAGTGCCGTGTTTGGGCTGTTTTATTGTGGCTATCTACCTTGTTTCTGGGTCAAGCTTCGATGTAGTTTATCACTTCCAGCCTTGAACACAAGTATAGTTTTGAACTTTATATAGAAATACCAATATAGATACAATGCAATTATGCTTTTTACGAAACGAAGTTGTTTTGATAGATTTTCTTTCTATGATTTATATTCCCTCTTTTCTATTATAATCGACAGTTTGACCTTTTTTACCATTCATATAGAGACTTTGATTATAGTTTCTTTTTTATTTTTTATTTTTTCTATTTTTTATTTTTTGTTACTGTATAAAAGATTTTAGCCTGTCCAATTCATGGGTTTCCTTTATATTTTTTAAACCAAACATTTTATATGTTTATGTGATAAAATTGTGGTTTTATTCGTTGTTTTTACTTAAATTTCTATTATAAATTAATGGTTTTTTTTTATTTATTTTATTTTATTTTATTTATTATTATTAGATATCTAGATAAAATTCCTAATGTCAAAAGAGATTTTTTTTTTTTTAAAAATAATTTAAACTCTCAAAATTTATTCATTAATTTTTCTTATATGATTCTAAAAGAAAATGCATTTCTTTGTGGCTAAAATCTACCCCACTCAGTTCCATTTTATTAGTTATGTTTTGATTTTTGACAATATTCATAAGATGAGTGAATCTTTGAATTTATTCCTAATATATAGGATGTTATATAGTCATGTGGGGTCTTGTTTGATTCGTCTCAACAAGTACTTTATTAATATTCAATTATTATAACTTTTGCAAGTATGTAGTAAAAGATATTAATATTTAAGTAAGTGCATTTGACAAACGTGCACAGTCATAATGTAACCAATAAAAAGGAACGAAGGGAGTACTATTTTCCTATGTGGCACTCTAAAATCTTAGGATATAAATTCCCCTATATATATAAGGGATCCGGTGAGAATGAGTACATATGTGAGAACTCATACTGATATGAGAATTGATCTAAAATTTAGAACATATGAGTAAAATTTAAAACATTGAGTAAAACTTTAGAACATACTTGTAAAAATTTAGAACACATGATTTAAAATTTAGAACATATGAGTAGAAATTTAGAACATTTACAATCAATCAATCAAAGCCTTAATCCCATAAGTGGGGTCGGCTACATGAACCAAATTTTATTATTCCGTGTATTCATCCACAAAAATCTTCCTCCTCCATCCCTTACAACCTAATGCTTCATCCGTATGCAAATCCATATACTTCATATCCTTCCTAACTCCTTCCAACCAAGTCATTTTCGGTCCCCCTCTCCCTCGGTTAATCCCTCCATGGTCCCACTCTTCCACTCTTCAAACCCTCCGGGCAGGCTCCCATAGTTTGTCGGTAATGCTTGCCACACCTACTTTCTTGCGAATAACCTCATTTCTGATTCTATCTCTTAGAGTGTTCTCACACATCCACCTTAACATGCGCATTTCTGTAACTTTTTATTTTTTATTTTTTTATATTTTTTATGTGCTTCTTAGAAGCCCAGCATTGGCAGTCCTGTAGAATTTCCCCTTCAATTGTAAGGGAATGCTTCGATCACATAACACTCCCATGACCGCTCTCTAATTAAGCCACCCCGGCTTAATCCCGTGGGCCACGTCTTGATCTATGTCACCATTTTTTTGGATGATCGACCCAAGATACTTAAAACATTCACTCATGGTCAATTCCTTTCCATCCAAACTCAGCACTTCATCACTTGTCCCCCTTTAAGTACCAAAGTGACATACCAAATATCCAGTCTTACTCCGGCTTAGCTTAAACCCTCTACATTCCAACCTTTGCCTCCCTTGCTCCAACTTGGCATTAACCCCATTTTTTGTTTCATCCACCAAAACGATATCATCCGTAAACAACATACACCATGGAACCTCATCATGAATTGGTCTAATTGCTTCATCTAGAACCGTTGCAAAAAGACAAGGGCTTAATGCAGACCCTTAATGCAATCCAATTGTAATAGGGAAAGCTTTTGTCAACCCTCCACATGTCCTCACATTTGTTGACACATTCCGATACATAACCTTAATAGGATACCTTTCTTCAACATTGCCCACCAAAGTACAACACTTTGTCATATGCCTTCTCCAAATCAATAAAGACCATATGAAAATCCTTCTTTACTCGATAAAACTCCATTTGTCTTATCAAATGAATTGCTTCCATAGTAGATTTCCCGGGCATAAAACCAAATTGGTTATCCGAAATGCTTGTGCATGCCCTCAAACTATGTTCAAGCACTCTTTCCCACAACTTCATAGCGTGGCTCATAAGCTTGATCCCTCGATAGTTAGAACAATCTTGAGCGTCCCCTTTGTTTTTATAAACCGGGACCAAGGTGCTCTTCCTCAAATCTTGCGGGATCCTCGTAGCACTCCATATCTTGTTAAAGAGGTCTATTAACCAATCAATACTAATCTCACCCAAACACCTCCACACCTCTATCGGTATAAACCGCCTTCTTAGGCTTCATCTTCTTTAGTGCAATCTCCACCTCTACTCTTCTAATCCTCCGCACTTAATCCATGATTTCTTCATCACTTGCAGAGGTACCCTTTCCACTTGTCCTTGATGTCATCATCTTGTATTGGGACAATTTGGTTCTTATCTTTGACACACATTACCATGCTAATATCTTTCCTTACCTCTTGTCTTCTCTTTGCCATCTTATAAATAATCTTTTCTCCCTCCTTGGAGTTAAGCTTTTCATAAACCTCCTGATAAGCCTTTTCTTTTGCTTGTCGAACAACCGCCTTTGCCTTACTCTTAGCCTCCTTATATGCTGCAAAGGTTTCGTCACTCCTACATTTTCCCAAGGCTTGATAGCATTCACTTCTTTGCTTAATTACTGCTTTTACCTCTTCATTCCATCCACCATGAGGTATCTCTCTGTATCGAAGTTCTTCCCCTTGATTCCCTTAAGACCTCTTTGGCCACTCTGAGGAAACAATTCTTCATTCGTAACCAAATCATGTCTGGATCCACCTCTTTATCCCAATCCGCCTCCTTGATTACCTTTTATGTAAAAACCTTAGCATTTGCATCCATTAGAGTCCACCATCTTATCCTTGGCTCCTCTTGTCATCCTTTTTTCTTTGCCTTCTCTTTCAAACGAATAGTCATAACCAAAAGCCGGTGTTGGGTGACCTTGCAATTTAAACAACTTTGTCTATCCATGCTCCTTATGAGCAGGAAGTCTATTTGTATTGCATTTGCTCCACTCCGGAAAGTTATCAAGTGTGAATCTCGCTTCTTAAACCAAGTATTAGCTAAAATTAAATCATATGATTTGGCAAAATCCATAATAGCTTCACCACCTGCGTCCCTCTGCCCATACCCAAAGCCTCCATGAACACTCTCGTAGCCATCTCGGCTCGCCCCAACATGCCCATTTAAATCACCTCCAATATATAATTTCTCAAGGTGTCCACCACCTCGGCTAAATCCTCCCAAAATTGTCGTTTATCTTCTGCATCCAAACGAACTTGAGGAGCATAAGCACTAATAACATTCACAATATCCTTGCCACATAGCAACTTCACCCTTATCAACCTATCATTCTCCCGATAGACCTCGATTACCTCTTTCGATAACCTCTCATCAAGAATCACACCAACTCCGTTCCTAGATCCTCCATTTCTGGTGCTGTGGCTCGTTTCCTTTCCAACGTACCACACCTTATACCCCAAAACCAAGTCTCGAGCTCCTTCTCCTGTGCACCTTGTCTCTTGGAGGCACATGATGTTTATGCGTCTTCTCTTCATTACATCTTCCACATGTGCTGATTTCCCCGTAAGAGACCCCACATTCCAAGAACCAATCCGCAAACTAGAGTCCTTTCTCCCACACTCCCTTATACCACGCGCACTCGTACCACGCTCCCTCCTGCAAGCCCTTTGATCAGTTGACACCACACTTGGGAAATGTAGCGCGTCGCTTTTGGGCGACGACCTAGCAACCCTTGCATACTTATCACTGCACCCTGGTCTAGGAAGTGCAGCGCGTCGCTCAGTAGGGAACGCCCCAATGGCACGCCCTTGCTTATTTGACACCACACTCGGGTAATGTGGCGTGTCGCTTCCGGGCGACGACCTAGCAACCCTTGCATACTTATCACTACACCCGAGTCTAGGAAGTGCAGCGCGTCGCTGAGTAGGGAACGCCCCCACGAAAATATCAGTTTGGCTCATGTCATGGTATGTGACAAAGTTTTACACTGGTTGGTATTGGCCTACCGAAACCCCTCTCCTTTATCCATGCTTGGGACTAAATCCCACTGCCTCTGGCGGAGTTAAATTTAGAACATTTACGCGAGTAATGATTTAGAACATCCGATTTCAAATTTAGAATGTGTGAGTAAAAATTTAAAAATTCTGATTAAAATCTAGAACATATGAATTAATTTAGAACATTTAATGTAAGATTTAGAACTATAGAGTAAAAATTAAGAATATTTGATTTAATATTTAGAATATAGTAAAATTTAGAAAATGTGATTAAAAGTTTAGGACATACGAGTAACAATTTAGACCACATGATTAAAAATATAAAACATATGATTAAAAATATTAGAACATACAATTTAAAATTTAGAACAACTAATTTAACACTTAGAACATGTGAGTAATAATTTAGAACATGTGAATTAACTCATTTATAATTTAGAACATGTGAGTAAAAATTTAGAACACCTGATATAATTTTTAGATAACATACGAAGTTTCATGTTATTAGTTTTTGTATGATTTTTTTCGTATGTTTGGTTATATATATTATTGGTCAAAACTAATGCATTAGCAAGTGTGTCAAATTTGACCGTGTTAGTTATTTTGGAAAGGAGGGATTATATGATAAAGTTGGTAATACCTTGCACGGTCTAAATATAATATTGTAGTTTTTCCTGAATAAAAATAAAACATGGGGTGTGTGTATGTGTGTGTTTGAGGCAGGATGGGGGGGGGGGGTGGGGATCTTGTGCCAACTATCTAGCTATCTATTCTTTTTGCATTTCCTTGAATGAGCATTGTGTGTTATAAATTGTGTTATGAGGAAGGGTACTTTTTATCTCTAATCCTAGCTACTGTAAAGCCTAATCCATTCTTGTATAAATCATGTGAAAAAAGAGAAATGAACGTTGATACCAAAACGAAAGAATAGAAGTTATGCTTTCGTGATTTTAGAAATTGGATATCTGAAAAAGACTCAAAAGTACGACTCCAAGTCTGATTGTATCAGAGTTGTTTGCAATATGTAAAGTCTTGTAAGGATGGTTTGGGGTGTTTGTCTAGTTAAAATACAGACTATATCTATCAGAGGCTAGAGGCATAGTTCTGTTTGTAGCACCAAACTAGTGGCTATTATCCAAGGGGCCTACTAATGCTCCTTTGATGTTCTGATGCGGATTTTTATCTGGATTCGCTTTAAATTTTGGAAAATTTGTAAGAAACCACCTTTTAAACGGTAGTTTTTGTGAGAAACCGCCTTTTGAAAAAAAAACTTGTAAGAAGAGACCTAATTCATAATTTCTCTTGCAATAGACCACCTTTAGCTGAATTCCAGCGAACTCACAATTTCAGGCATTGACTTCACTTTAACTACCCATTCTCTCACTTGAGTCACTTCCATGGCTGCTCCACCACAGGTCTACCCTCTCCACCCCATAACTCCCCTTTTCCCTCCTCCGTTGTCGCCACATTTGCCCTCCTCTCTCTCTGCCATATCTTGCGGTGGTTTGGTCTTTTCAGGGAGATTAGGGTTTTTCTTTGTTGGGGTGATTTTCGATTTTAGCTTTGGGTTTTTTGGTGGTGAGTAGGTTTCGAGATATTTCATAATGATTACGTAGTGTTTTTTTTCCCTCTCATATTATTCTTTTTTGAGTATTGAATATCATGGATTGTGTTATATCTTCTTCTATTATGCTCCTTCCCACTCCTTTCTCTTCTATATTACAAGACAAGTTCACTTAAAGTTTATATAGTTTTACCCAATTTATTTATTTTATTTTTTTTTATCTAAAACAGTGCATAAATTTTAATGATTGACAGAAATCGGATATTTCTGGCCTGTTCTTCTTGGTGGCCCAACACATTGGACTGCAGGTCTTGTGGCTACCTTATTATCTATCAGCAGCATCATCGCAGCAGATACATTTGCTTTCCTTGGAGGCAAGGTAAGTACTAATTTTGAAATTGAATTGTTGATGTTAATTGTATTTTGTATGACAAAGATTCCGTACATGAACTTTACTTCATTAGGCTTCGAGTTAGGTTTATTGGATTATCTCAGGTATTGCTTCCCAACTTTTTCACCATGTTGCCATCTGGTTTGAGGATTTGTGCTCAGTTTTTTTTTTTTTTTTTTTTTTTTTTTTTGACTTTTGGAAATAGATCATAACAGATATTATTTTATTGTTGATGTTAGTTTCATCATTTTTTCTTTTTATTTCATTACTTTTCCTAATGTTAATCTCCTATAGATGAAAACCCTATATCTTCCAAGGGTATGAAAATGTTTTAAAAGGGAATCCAAATCAATGGAAAGGAAAATAATAAATATAGAATGAAGAATAGTCTCAGTCATCACTTTATCCAACACATCCAAGCATTATTATTGCCACATTTGCCCTCCACAATAACTGTGAATGAATAGGTTTATTTGCTTCAACTAGAGAGGCCATTTTTTTTTTACTGTCTATCATATTTTGTGGCAAGCTGGTGGGAGGATACTGATTGATAAGAGAACGTGACTATAGGAGGTTTGAGAAGTGAAGAGTTTGTAGGGGGGGGGGGGGGAGGGGTTCAGAATGGTTGTCAAAATGATGAAAACTTAATACTATATAAAGAACGTACAGAGTCTAGCAGATGGGTTCTTAGTTTTAAAAAGTGTGTTGAAGGCGCGCCTAGGTGCTAGGCTAGTCAAGGTGCGGACCAAACCGTCTCTACCCCAGGCGCAGGCGCAGTGCATTCTAGAAGGCACTAATATTATATAAAGAACATACAGAATCTAGCAGATGGGTTCTTAGTTTTAAAAAGTGTGCTGAAGGCGCGCCTAGGCGCTAGGCTAGTCAAGGCGCGGACCAAACCGTCTCTACCCCAGGCGTAGTGCATTCTAGAAGGCACTAATAAGCACAGTTGTCATGCTGCCTCCACCAGCCACCTTATGTTTTAAATGAGCGGGAAAAGGAGCCAAAAAAAAAAAAAAAGAGACAATTGCTTTTTTCAAATTGAATCTTACCCGGTTTTTAAAGTGACAATCAAGTAACAGCTCTTTTTTAATTGAATGAAATTACTTTAACCTAACACCCAATTGGAAAGCCCTAATGATTAGAAAACCCTAATATACGGGTTGCTAAGCAATGTAAGAAGTTGATGGGCCGGACAGCAATTCCCGGTGGTTCAGGCACCAAATTTATCATAGCTGGTGCCTGTCAAGCATTTCAGACCCTATACGGTTAATAATCTTCTTCTTGAAGCTTATGGTGTCTCTCTCCTCAACAATATTTGCCCTCTACGGTTAATGATAAGGAGTTTTTTTATTTATTAATTTTTTCTCTTGTCTTTTATTACTAAAGTAGCTGAGGAACTCCTAAGTTAAGTTATTTTTTACTAAATTTCTAATGCTCCATCCATTCCTAATTGATAATCCTATTTCGAATGGCAAAATTCTAAATGCAATGTTGTAATTAATGTCTCTACATATTGCGAAAATATACAATAATAATATATTTAGGAAAATAAAAATCATGTTGAATCTAAAACGATCCTACTTGACTATGTTTTGAAGTATATATATTTATTTCTAACATCGTGAAGAATCTCACGGCTCAAAGCAGTGAGAGGATGAACCTTTTCCTCCTCTGCTATTAAGCCCAGGTCAATTAATTTTATAATTGTGCTGACTGTTGATAGTTTTTTTAGTTCATTATGTGCTTCTTTTATGCTACTCTCTTCGTGGAAGCTCAAAGGTTAGTATTGTGGAGCATGGAGAGAGGAAAAACGTTGAGATAAAAACAATAGTGGATGGGTGCGAGTCCAAAGATTAGAAAAAATGTTAATAGAAAAACCTGTGGGACAACTTTTTTGGTTAATGATAACCTTTAGCTCTGATGGAGACAGTGTATAATTGCGTGTTTGCTTGTTCAAATCTAGTTTAAAGTATATTCTTTATTGAAATGTTTCAAATAATTAAAATTAGCATGGCTTAAAACAAGTTCAACCTATGTTGTACTAGAAGGATATGATACTGTCATTTCTGCTTTGATTTATAGGATGATAGCCATATGTCTGTGCACTATTCAAATTATTATTTATATAATGCTTATTTTTTGCTTTTCCTTTTTACTTAAGCAGGCATTTGGCCGCACTCCGCTTATTAATATTAGCCCAAAAAAGACGTGGGAAGGAGCTATAGTGGGTTTGGCTGGTTGTGTTGCTACTTCTGTCATATTATCGAAATTACTTTTTTGGCCAAAGTCTTTGACAAGGTAACATTTCCCGTTTTTCAGCTCAATCGTTGCGTGGTTTACATGTCATGATTTATTTAGCCTACCCTGATAATTTTAGCGTGTATTCACTCTTGACTCCTTTATAGGACCTTAAAATAGTCATCTGCAGAATATAGTTGGAGTACACGTTTTCCTTTCTCACTTGGAAGTCATTGGTTTAAGGTGATAGTAAAGTGTCTATACTCGAAAATATCGTGCCTATGAAAATCAAACTGCCTCCTTTTGGTGGTTGTATCAAGCACTAGACTATTTTTTTTTTTTTTAATTTTTTATTTATTTATTATTCCCCATTCATTTTTCTACGACTTGGAATAGGTACAGAGGGGCAGAGGGTGCATAGCTTCTTGAATTCACCTTCGTTCACATGCTACATAGTGTAATAGGTTGGGGACTTAGTTGGGCTTTACCTTTTTTTTATTATAAAATAGATGGGTGGCCACTTTGTGAGGTGGATTTTTGTCGATAAAAATTTTAGGACAAGTTTTATTCCTAAATGCCAAATTTTAACATCTATCAATGTATAAATCATATTCAATAAGAGACATTTAATCGCTTTTTGTTCAGAATATTTTAACTATTGATTTATTTAAGAACAATTTATATTATAGAAATAAAAGAGAAATATCTATGATAGAAATATACTCTGTATATGAGAAACAACAATGTTTTTTTTTTGTTTTTTTTGTTTTTTTTTTTGTTTTTTCATTATTAAGAACAATTTATATTATAGAAATAAAAGAGAAATATTTATGATAGAAATAACATCTATGTTCTTTCAATATGCTACTCGTGAATTAATGTTCAGTTAATAATTATGTTTGGAATATAAAAAATTTATTACCATTGCTCCTTAGAGTTGTCGAAGATTCTTATATACACGGGTGTATGGTACACTTAAGGGTATATTTTGCTTATTTTGAATTTTATTGATCATTTAATTATCAAATTAGCAAAATAACTCTTAGAAGCACCTTACACCGAGTATATATAAAGAAAAAAAAAAAGTTGTCAGTTGTCATGCGATATCACAAACTATGGAGTACAATATAACAATTATATTTGATTGTGAACATTATATTTTTAATCTCGTATAATTTCTTTGGAAATTTTGACTTTTGGTACCACTTAAATACCCTATTTTGATTTTTGGTACCTATCTAAAATTTTATTTTATTTTACTACCACCAAAAATGCAAAAATGTATATTTTGGTACCCACTAACAGAATTTGTCAAAGAAACCGTTAGTGGAGCCCACTCTCCCACTTTTAAATTTTTTTCCTCGTTTTGCGTGCCGAAAAAAATATTATGTCGAGGTTTTAGGGGACATTCTCGTGTTGCGTGTTAAGAAATGTATCAATTTGCATGTCATTAATTTTTTTAGCCATAAAAATTGTTCGGGTAAGGTTTTAGGGGTAGGTTTAGCTCTTAAGTGTCCAAATTGAGTCAGGAATTGGCAAAAAAATAACATAGATGCCTTGTTTTGTGTGTCCAAATCGACATTATTGAACACGCGAAACAAGGCAGTTACTTTTATTTATTTATTTATTTTTTACTTTTGCGAATTTCGAGCTTAAATTGGTTCCCTAAGGACTAAACCGACCCCTAAAATCTTACCCAAACAATTTTCGCGGCGTGAAAAATTAATGAAATGCAAATCGATACAATTCTTAACACGTAAAACAAGACATTTATGTTTTTGTTGTCAGAGCTCAACTTGGACCCAAAAGAACTAAAATGACCATCCAACACTTTAACGAAACATTTTTCGGCACGTAAAACGAGGAAAAAAATTAATAGCTGGACCACTAATAGAACTCTAACTCTAAAATTTTGGAGATAGTAAAATATAAATTATGTTTTAGCTAGAAACCAAAAATCAAAGAATGGTCTTTTGATGGTACCAAAGGTTAAATTTTCCAATTACTTTTTAAAATGAATATTATGATGTAAATATAATAGAATTATAAAGTATTTATTGAAAATTAAGGTTTTAGTTTATACTTATGTAGTTTTAGAAATTTTTCAAAAATAAAACTCTATAATAATTTTTACATTCTAAAAAATCTATCCAAATTTTGCCTAGTTGACTGTATATGTGGCATATTAATGTATAATTAATGTTTGGGTTTTTCTAAGCTATGCCCTTAAGGTTGTTGCGTTTCTAAGGTGTGTCGATACTTTTTCAAAATTACAAGTTTTGTCCACCAATTTCAGTTGTTTAATCAACCGTACCCTATGACATTAAGCTGACATTAGTAATTGTAAAAAATTAGGAAGTAATTAGAAGCTGTTTCAGGGCGGGAGAGTTATGTCACCAAGACTGGATTCTCTTCACCTGCAAACAAACGGAAGCTCTGTGTGGAGTTCTGCCTCCAAAGATCAAGTTAGTAAGAGTCGAAGGAGAGTAAAAAGTGCGGAAAGTAAGTAGATTTTCTCGGATTATGAGATCAGGTGTTTTCTCTGATGTGAGAGAATTGATTGTGTGTATAAAAGAATGTACCCCCAAATGGGGGTAACTCTCCCTATTTATAGGGTCATGGGAATCAGTACTCCTTTTTCTAGGTCATCAACCTAGGTAAATGGGCTGCGCCGTTTTTACGGCGTTCTTGGGATTTGGGCCTTTGAAAGCCGCCTTTTTTCCATTGGGAGTGCCACGTGTCAACTGGTGATTAGTCCTTTTCAGACCTCTCCTGGGGTGACACGTGTCCCCTTATGATTGGGCCACGTGGCCCGACCCAAATCATTTGCCTCTCACAAGGCCTGGCGCCTCCTGTCAGCATTCGTGAACAGGTTTTAACTGATTACCCCTCTATAAATAGGGTTTCCCCTCCTCTATTTTAGACTTTTTCACAAAGTCTAGAGGGAGATAATTAAGTTTTTAGAGAGATAAACTCTGATAACCGCCCGTGCTTCCTTTTGAGAATATTGCCTACTTTGACCGCTTGTTACAGTCGGTCTTGACACCTCATCACAGAAAAATATATTTGAGGTAATCGTCTCTCTTTCATCCTTTTACCGTTTGTGCATATTGTTTTGAAATAAATGGATTCACCATCAACACACACGGCGCGGCCTAGGACAGTAGTCAGCCGGTCTCCTGGTACGGCTGAGTCTAGGCCTTGGGGTGCCGCCTCTGGGTGTATGGAGCACCCTTGTTCGTTAAATCCGATTGTCTTTGTGTCTATGTAGGACACTATGGCTCGGACGAAGTAGACGACACCTGATCCGGATTATAAAGAGGAAGGCACATTAGAAGTGCCGTCTGACGAAGTTATACCGGTTGAGAAGAAGTGAATTCTCCATCGGGTGCCCTTAGCACTCCATGTGATAGTATCTTAGAAGAGTTTGAGCCTTAAGCCTTGAGCTGAAGAGGGCAGCAGCAACTTCTTAGAATTGGTGTTAGATAGCGAGGAGGAGCGCTGCCTCTGGAGTGACGGACCCGTTTCAGATTCATGTTTCAGCCAGGGATAGGGCAAACATGCAGGTGGGCCTTAAAAATTTCAAGAAGAAACGTCTCCTTGGGGGGAACTATGCCATCCGAGTGCCACCTGAGTTAGGCAGCATAGCGTGGAAAGATGACCAGCAAAACGCTAATGACTACTTTGGCTGTTATGAGGCGGCATTCTTAGTCGGCCTCTACTTCTCCCTCCATGGCGCAATAAAGGCCATTCTTCGAGGATATGGCTTAGGCGTGTGGCAGTTGACCCCAAACTCCAGGTCAACATTTTGGGCTATATAGCCGCTTGCAAGATCGGCTGGGAGGCTTTTGCAAAGATGCACTATTTCAGCCGTAACCGTCAACATTTTGGGCTATATAGCCGCTTGCGGGCGTAGTACACACTGACCACTTACCCGGAATACCTTACCCCGGAATACCTTATGACCTTTGACGAACCGTCTAAGTGGTCTGATTCGAGGAACAAGTTATCTTGTTTCTTCCCCCAAGCGGCGAGAAAATCATGAGTATCGTCGTTACAATAAGGAGTCGGAGCTGCTATTCCTCACATCTTGGACGAGGACTGGAACAAAATAATAGAGATAGACTTCTTTAGGGTAATCACCATGCCCTTATCAACCCCCGAACAAATAATTGCGCCCAAAAATTGGGTACCAAAGCATGAGTTGCTAGTGCTTCTGTCCGCCCGTGTATGTCAAATAACCATTCGGCATTTTAATGCCGCCTTTATTGCTTCTACACTATGCTTGTAGTTTTCTTGTTTTGTATAGACGATTTTTCTTGTAGAAACCACCAAAAGCCATGCATCCAGAATACAAGACGCCTGCTCAACTGCTCAAATAAGGAAGGACAATGTTGAGAAAAAACAGGCCTAGCAGGCGGCCTCCCAAAAGGATCAAGTATGTCCCGTTTGTCATAATCATTCTTCCTTCATACATTAATGTGCCGACTTGACAATTTGTTTTCTTTATTCAAGATGGAGACAAGGGGCCTTTTACAAAATTGATCAAACGGAAGCTAGAGGACGAGGCCAAAGGCTCGGCCAAGTCTAGGAAAGTGTCTTTGACCCAATCGGTCCCCACCCTCTCGCTTGGGAAGGAACATCTGTCTACGGGTGGGAAGAGCCTTAAAGGTTTTGGGATTGATATCACCAAAAAGACGAGTGCCTCTGATGCGCTGAAGAGTGGCATGTTACTCAACGTTGCAAGCGGTTCTGCAGTGGCTGTAGGCGTTCAAAGCCTTCAACCTTTCTCCCAAGGTACTGCTGGTCCCTTTGAACTTCCATGGTCCATGCGGGTCAAGTCACGTTCTCAGCCATCGGAGGATTCTTTAGGCAGCCGGCAGTTTATTGGTGGCGCCTATGTTGCTTACTCACCAAATTTACCTTGTGATGTAGATCTTTCCCCCTCCAAGAAGTCCATATCCAAGGAGGACAAAGAGGCCATCCCTGGGGTACATACGTTCAACGTTGATCGCATTACTGCTATGCTATGCTGGCTGAGGTATCTTAGCTTAACTCAA